AGGCCTTGTTTTGGAATAGATTATTTTAGTTTTTTTTTTTTTAATAATAAAATGTGTAAAAAAGTAGAGAGGGTGATATGATAACTTTTATTAATTTTTTGATATTTAAGCTAAAATATATAGTTAATAAACAAAACCTTATTGTAAGGACATTGGTGAGAGTTTTTGGTAGTAGAATTGTAGCCTCTAATCCATTTCAGTGTTTTGGAAAAGAGTGAACAACCAATAGGAGACTGGAATTGCACAAGATGTCCTGCCTATACAATTAGCTATTGAATATTCTAAAATGCAAATTTATTTGGAACCTATCTTTGTTGAAGGTAGCTACATGAAGGGTGTTTTTTTTTTTTTTTTTTTTTTTTATGTAGTTGGTAGTTATAGTTTTTTCTAATCGAGTAGTTTTGGGGGTTTAAATTTATTTTTGTAAATCAGTGACTTCAAAGTAGATTTGCATTCTCAGCTTTTTGTTATCGAACATTCCAAATGTTTTCATAGCTGTGAGTGCAAGGCCATTTAAGTTAAGCCCATACCATTGGGATCAATATTTTTTGGCAAGGGAATTAGACGTCAATCTTATGGATACAAATCGTTTTTTTATTTAATATATATATATATATATTATATATATTTGTGTATTGTTAAATATTTGAATATCTTGTGATTATTATATAATCTCTCCGTATCAAATTGTTTGTTTGGCACGAAAAATGAAAACTTAAAAATAATATATACTTGTACCGTAATTTTAATTTTTTTCACCAATTATAAGATTTCTTTAAGTACTTTTAAATTTAAAATTTTTAGTTCTCATTTTGTATAAACAATTTGGGACGGAAGTACTACATAGTCGAGGGAGAGGAGAAATTGAGGTTCAAAATGAACGGTTTAAATTATAAAAGAGGGTTGCTATATATCGCTGGATGATTTCCCCAAACGCTTGGTCTTGATCTAGAGACAGTAAAGAAATTCAAGTTGCTCAAAATGCCATTGCTCCGATTGGCATAGTGCCCCTCTTGCCAAATCTTTACGTCGCCAGTTTTTTTTTTTCCTGACAGTTTCAGTCCATCATTGGCTTCCTTTCGTCAAGTTCAATTCGTTGCCGTTGCCACGGTAGGACTGTTTTTGCTGCCATTGACTTGTGCGTGTGTGTTATTATGAAGGAGCCAGTAGCAAATTTCGATTTGGCCATTAGAGGGAAGGGAATGGATTGTTTTTTGATGAGAGAGTCGTGTTGGGGACTTCGCATTGCACACAAGGCTCACACCTGGTCTGGTCTGTGAGTTGGAATTAGAGGTGAAAAGGGTTTGGAAGGTTTAGTTGTACGGAGAAACTAATGGTAGGGATGAGAGTACGAATCAATGCATTGATTTCAGTTTTTTGAATTTAGATTTTTAAAAATTGAATTTTTTATTTTTTTTATTTTTTTATTTTTAGTGAATATTTTTAAAATTTTAAGTGTTTTTTTTATTTTTTTAGATACACATTACTTAGATGTATCTAAAAAGTAAATATTTTTTTAAAAATATAAAAATATATTGAATTTTTATTTTTATTTTTATTTTTTGTATTTTTAGTATTTAGTGAATTTTTTAAAGTTTTTTTTCATAAAAATTATACTTTTTAAATATATTTATGTGAGGTGTGTTTAAAAATTAAAAAAATTATTTAAAATATTAAAAAAATTCAATAAAAAAATGCGAAAAGCAAGAAAATAGAATTTTTTGAAAAGTATTTTAAAAAACGGAAAACAAACATGGTGAAAAGTATTATAAAAATTGTAAAAAAATAAAATTTTAAAAATGTAAGGAGATAATGCTGTGATGTAAGTAAAATTACCCTAGTTAGTCACATCTCACCCACACCAAATTGTAGGTTGGCTACAAAAAGTTTTTGGTACCAAAAAAATGTTAGGGACCATTAATAAACTAGAAACTAGTCATATTACACCCATGATTGATAACGCCTCGTTTGGAAGAATTTATAAAAGTTAAAAATGAAAAAATTACTTAAAAAAATTAAAAAGTTCATACTATTTGGCTGAAGTTTGTGAGAGAAGTTTAAAATGTAAAATTATTATTTTGTTCTTTCAATTCAACTATCCAAAAGTTAAAAAGTTTAAAAGTCAAAAAGTCAATAAAAATAGAATGGTCATTTTAATTTTATTATAATATTTTATTACATATTTTTTTATAAAAAGTCAAAAAATTATCCCAAATATATATATATATTTTCTCTATATTTTTTAACTAAAAAGTCAAAAAGTATATTTATATAACACATCTCAAAAAACTTGTGACAAAATATTTTATAGATTTTTATTAATGAATTAGGCACCATTTAATCTGCTAAAATATAATTTCCGATCCCCAAAACCAAACACTAGCTGACCCTCACAATCAAACATCACCTTCTTCTTCCTCCCCAAACTCTACGCAAATCCAACGCTCTTTAGAATTTCTTTCGTTTTCACATCTTTTAATTGTTATAGACATGAAATTTAAAGTAAATACAGTTAGTTTAACACATTTGATGTAATTATATCATTCTGCTGTCCATAAACGTTTAAATTTGTATAGAAGTTAAATTCATTTTCTTTTGTTAGTTCATATAAATGGAAGAAAAAAAATGATGCTCTCATGTCTTTCCTGTTAAAATATATATTTGTTTTAATTATATTACCACTTATATTAGTTTCAGTATTTTAACCATATTAAAAAAATTAATTTAATTATATGAAAAAAGGGTAAATATTAACAAGTGTTCCCTAAGTATTGTTTAATGTTAAAAAAGTGTGTAAAATTGTCTTAAAAATATATGAAAATATTAAAAAATGTATTGATTTCAATAAAATTGTATTGAATTTAATAAAACTATCTTGTATTTTTAAAGTTTTTTACTATCTTTTATTTGTGCCCTAAAAGTACTTGTTAGCAAGACCTATAAAAAATATATGATTAATTATAATTTTTTCAAGTGAGTGTAATTTAACCTTTTAATAATTTGAGACAATTATTACTGTAAATTTTTAAAAATAATTTCATATCAGTTATAAAATTTATGTATATTAATAATTAAAGTCTTAAATTTTTTTATAAATTTAGATTTTATTTAGAAATAAGTTATTTTATTAATTTTTTAACTTTTTATAAAAAAAAATAAATAATATAATATAATAATTTATAATAACTTTTTAACTAAAATATATAATTGACAATTCCTTATAATGACCCTATTTGGTAGGCCTTATTTTTAACTTATTTTAGCTTTTAGTTTAATTTAAGCTATTTTGATTTGTTTGGTTCAGCTTAACAATACAGCTTATAACTTTTTGTAAGTCAAAAATCAACTTATTCTTTGAGTGGGAGAGGAGAAACTTAATTTATAAGTCAAAAATTAACTTATATTCACAACTATAAACTAAAAATTTTTAAGATATAAATTATAATCACTTTTCTACAGATCTACCAAACGAACCAAATTACTCTCGTAAAACTACTAAAAGCATGAACAAAAAGTTTCTGCGTGTACCAGCCGATATTCTCTGTTTGTTTAACCCGGTCAAATCAAACCCCTTAGAATATGCCACCAGCGTAACAACCAAACACAGATTCCCTTCACTTTTTCTTTTCACATCAGTATATCTACACCCACTTCAAATATGGGAAATATTTCATTTGCTCAACTATTTTATTACATACAGTCACACAATTATTAAACCATCTTTTTGTTAAACTCCAACATAATTAACTTCAAATCAAAAGAAACTAAAACACTCTCATAATTATCTCAGTCAAACACTTCTTATGATTACTTTTTTGCCAACTGGTAGGACTTATTTGGTAGTAATTTATTAGATTTAATAATTATAAAATAAAAATTAACACACTCAATAATTCTACATATATACAAACAAATCATACATTGGTCTTGTTTAGAAAGTTGACTATTTTAGTTGACATTTTAACTATTTTAACTTGATTAAAAAAGTTATGTTTAGAAAGATAATTTTTTTTTTTTTGTAATTGATTTGATAGTTTTGAAAAAAAAAATAATAATAATTATGAATTGAATATAACATTTTGTTTTACTAACTATTTTAACTTATTTTATCATTATTAATTATTTTAACCCAAATAATCCTTCCAAACAGGCGTATTAGAGAACTACGTAATACTCACAATGTTTTGGGCCCACCGTTTTGAGGATTTGTGTGATCCGCTATTATATATGAATGTCGTCTTTGTGATTATTCTATGATCTATTATTATGTGATTCATTTTTATGCAAATATATTTTTTCAAAGCATTCCTCTCCCATTTTTCAATAACCAAACTATTTTAATTTTATTTTATGTAAATTATTTCTACTTCATAAAAAATTTAAAAAAAAAACTACACTAAATGTTTTAACATAAAATTTTAAAAAAATAAATTAATAAATTACAGTAAACATAGCTTAAAGGTGAAGTTACTTATAAACCCTCATTTAAAAATAAATAAATAAATAAAGTTTTAATAAATTAAGGTAAAATTACTTAAAAGCCTTCAAAACCGTCCTAGAATTCCCATCTCCATAAAATAACAAGGGAGTAGCTTCCCCCACTCATAGATCAGATTGGAGGGTTTTGTTAAGCTCGTAAGGATTCATCACGGGTTCTGTTTTGATAATTCAAATCATTTTATATGTACAATTCGTCGAGTACTATATGCCTATAAAACATTACATTGATCGGATATCGATAACTATCTCATCGAATCAGTTTTCTATCAACCGTTAATTTGTTCACCGTCTATTTTTTTTATACAAAACTAATTTGATCACATAACTATCAATATCAAATCAACTTGATATTTTGTAAACATATAATACTTAACGAGTTCTACATATTTAACAATTTAAATTATTAAAATGAGACTCGTGATATAACCCTACGAACTCAACAATACTCTCAAGTCCGATATAAGACCGGAGGAAGCTACTCCCAATAACAATTTATCTTTCAAAATCTTCTTTGTTTTCCAAAAACCCTCCTCCAAATCCTTCCAAAACAATCATTGTTTGATCCAAAGAAACACCACTCTCAAATCCCAAGATGGGTCTCTTTCTTCCACCTCCCAACCCCTTCTCTCTCCTCTTTCTACCGCTCTCTCTCCTCCTCACCATCACTCCCTCCTCCTCTTCAGACTTGACAACCCTGGTCTACAAAGGCTGTGCAGACCAGAAATTTCAAGACCCATCTGGGATTTACTCTCAAACCCTCAAAACCCTCTTCGACACCCTCAAATCCCAGTCCTCCACCGCCAAATTCTACAAAACCACCGCCGGAGATTCCCAGTCCACCATTCTCGGCCTCTTCCAGTGCAGAGGCGACCTCTCAAACTCCGATTGCAACAACTGCGTCTCGAAACTCCCAGAGATGTCCCAAAAGCTCTGCGGAAACACCATTGCTGCGAGGATTCAACTCACTGGGTGTTATTTAAGGTATGAGGTTTCTGGGTTTAAGCAGGTTTCTGGGACTGAGTTGCTGTATAAGGTGTGCGGGTCGACTCAGGCGAGTGGGATTGGGTTTGGGGATAGACTGGACACTGCTCTTGGGGAGATAGAGAAGGGTATGGAGGGTGGCAGTAGTAATGGGTTTTACACTGGTAGTTATGAGTCAGTGTTTGTGTTGGGTCAGTGTGAAGGGAATTTGGGGAATGGGGATTGTGTGGATTGTGTGAAGAGTGCTGTTGAGAGAGTGAGAAGTGAGTGTGGGAATTCTATCTCTGGACAAGTTTATCTTCAAAAATGTTATATTAGCTACACTTACTACCCAAATGGTGTGCCCACCCAATCACTATCAGGTAATCGACATGAAATTTATATAGATAGATACATTTATATGCTGCTACATTTATTACTCTCTGTTTGAACTGTTTGGATTGGGGGATGAGAAAATAAAAGAAATGATTGAACTTTCTGTTTTATGTGCTTTGGTGCTTTTGTTTTGATGAATAAGAAAGGAGTATGTGATATATGAATATGGATGAAATTTTATTTTATTTTTTTCTTTATATTTTAGTGGGTATTCTTTTGTATTAATACGTAATCAATCAGTTTATTTTACACCCAATTTCGCTGTTTTTGGTTATAAATGAAATCCATAATTGATCATTTTTTCTCTCTATTTTTCATGAGAGAAGAGTTTTTGTTTTTGTTTGTTTGTTTGTTTCTTATCAATTTCTCAACAAATCAATCAATTCAAACAAAGACTGTTAGGAATATCTATTTCTCTCTCCACACTGTCTTACTCTCTCCTCTGATTTGTAAAAGTAAGTCAAGTTCTAAATACTGTATGGTGTTTGATGAGGGTATGCAGGGACAGGGCAAAACCCACAAAATACACAAAGGACAGTGGCTATTGTGGTGGGAGGAGTGGCTGGTTTTGGGCTTGGAATTGCCTTTTTGTTGTTTCTAAAATCAGCTTTTAAGAAGCGAGAAAACAAGTATGGAGGATGATGATGAGGTTAGTTTCCGACCTTCTACTACTCTGTTTTCTGCTTTTTGTTCTCTGTTTTTTTTAATTTTCAAAATGAAAATATACCTCTTGCTATGAAGAATTTATTAATTTTTTTTCTTACAGTTTGGTAATTTTGTGTGTGTGTGTGTGCGCGCAGGGTGAGACTACTACTATTATGTGCTTAGCTGCTAAGTTGGAGGGGTGTAATGTAAAGGAGAGAAGTTTTGCTTTTTTAACTCTGTTTTGCATTCAGATATTTCTTCTCCACCTAGTTCCTTTTTCATTACTTTTCTTTCTTTTAAACCAAACAGCCCTATCTGTCCAAAAAAATACACATTTTAGTCATAGTTGGCCTTTTCTTTTGAATGTACATGCACAGATTGAAATATATATCTATATGTGAATAGTAGCTCTTAGTTGGCATTAAAGGTTTGTTCTCCACTTTACTACATAAATAGCAATTATTTATGTGTTTCAATTCAAAAGAGGAAAAGAGGGTGGGGGGAGGGGGGAATGGAATCTTACAAAGCCTAAAAAAATTGTAAGGTTTATAGGTCTTTTCCTCCATTTCATGTACCAGCAGCTAAACAACAAAAAAAAATTACTATAATTGTTAACAACAGTAACAAATATAACAATGTTATGCCAAGTGGTGAAATTCAAATATAAACGTTTTATCTTGGTGAATTCGTATATTTATAAGTCTATGAACTCATCTTTGTCTATTCCGAATTGACCCTGAATGATGATGTGTGGTTGTCCTTGAATTTGTATAGTGAAATTCATATATAGAATAAATGTGAATCATAAAATGATAATTTTGAATAATTTATGGATAGTTAGGATGAATTTGTAATATTACTAAAACAATAATGGTTAATCAAGTAATGACTTTACCCCGGAAAAAAAAAATGAAAAGAATTCTTTCACTTTCTTGGGTAAGCATAGAATTACCAATTGTTTTGTTTGTTTCCAAATCCAAAATTTCTTTCATGAAGATATGGGTCCACTCATTTAGGTAAACCCTTTTGCTTTGTTAGTGTCCCTTTCTAACGTAATATAAAAAAACTAGAAAAATGTATAATATATAGTTCGAGCAAATCCAACTATCTACTCTTACAAGTTGCAAAACAGTCCTTTTCAACCTGTGTAGTTTTTTTGTTGGATCTTCATAGAAGTATCACAAGATGAATCAGCAAGTGAAGCGATGAAAAATTTCAAGATTTTTTTTCTTTTTTTACTGTGATTGGGATTGAAATTTGAATGGAGTGGAAGAAGAAAAGCTAAACTTTTTGAAAAACCCAGAAGAGACAAAAGGAAAGGGGGGGCAAGAAAAGAAAATGATAGACATGGCTGATTTATAAGGCAATAATGAAAGTTTTTTTTTTTAATATTATTTTTAAATCTAAAAGTCGACTGTTTTCTGAACACATGTTTTCTGATATCCGATCAACTTGATTTTTGACAAGTATGATATACTGAACAAATCTTAAAATATGAACGGTTCGAATTATCAAAATTGGAGCTAAAAGTGAGCTCAATAAGCTTGCAAGTAAGAAATACAATGAGAAAATGCAATGAGGGAATCTTTACTCTTAGTGAGCTTATACGCCATGAAAGACAGCGAGGTCTGACACTTGGCATTCACAAAAGCCACTTTGAAAAAATCTCATATATTAAGGCCTAGATTGGGAAGACTAAACAAGTGCACTTTTTAACTTTTTATAAAATATGGGTTAGATTTGGGTTGGGTTTGAAGTGATGTGTTAGAGAGGTGATGTGACTTAAATAAGATGATGTGACTTAAATAGGATAGTAACTTTTTGACTTTTTGTCTTTTTTCAATCATGCCAAACTTGGCCTAAATTAATTCATGGAAGGCTAATTACATTTATGATTATAATACATGAAATAATATATCAAATGTAGTATAAAATATAATAAATATAGTATTACAATATTATTGACAAATAAATTTTTCTTAAAAATTGAGACATCTATCATATTAATAATTTGGATCGCATTTCAAATTTTAAAACTTTTTATTAGTAATATTTGTAAAATAATTTTGTTTGTATAGTATTTCTCTACTATATGAGTTACTATTTTATATATTATTATATAATGTAGGCTAGTATAAACACATTTTTGAAATCTTAAACTTTCTTTTTTTTGTTTTAAAAAAAATGCGCACAATTTTCATCTGCCTTCGTTTTTCTTTATAAAACGCAATTAAACAGGTAATAATCATCCCCTATGATGGTCACAAAAAAAATTATTTTTGCGCAAGTGTGCCACAATTTCTAATATTATTATATGATAAAAACAATTCAATTACTACATCTATCAATAGAAACGTTAGTATGCTATATCTAGCGTGTAAGAAATATAAAAATGTGCAGTTCTGAATTTTCATGATATACGTATTGACTAGTGTGGATGTGCCAAACATGGCTATGGTGAAACAGATAGTGGCAAGAACGTAGAATTAAAACACAAAAGGCATGGGACAATGGGTAGAAGCTTCCAAAATTATATCTTTACAAAGATTAGATGAAGGATAATGGTTTCCAAACTGGCCTACTCACACAGTTATCCAAAGGGAGGGCATGGAAAGAAGAGCTCGCTGAAAAAAGCCAAACAAGAAATAAAAAAAAGGTTTCAGACATCCAGGACCCAAGTGAAGTGGCTATATACTCAAATACTAGAACTCTACGAGCTTTATATAGTTTGGAATTACAAGAACTCCAAGGAGCTTTTATCTCTCTCTCTCTCTCTCTCACCATCTGGAATAGAGCACAAATAAGTGCGGTATCAACACTTAAACATTAGAAGTCTCATCATTTATCAGACACTTTCATTATAGATCGATTGGGAACAAGTTATTTTAAGACTATTTTAAGAAGATGATTAAATGTCATCTTTTAATTTTTAATCAATTTTAAGTCACATCACTTCTCACATTTTTTATACATTTTTTAAAAAAAAAAAACCCAAAAAGTCCGTTTTTAACCATCTTTCCAAAATAAACTTTTTAACTTTTTATAAAAAAATGTGTAAAAAAGTAAAAAAAGTAATGTGACGACTTGAAATGACTTTTTAACTAAAATATTTAGTTCACAAATGAGCCCATTGTAACAAAAGAAAGTACCATAATGCTTCAATAGAAATGGATAGAGATGCAATGAATCATGGGTGGGAGGTGTTAGGGAAAATCGATGTGATTCTCCACAAGTAAATCAATCAATGGGAATAAAAACTAATGCGGAAAAATTAAATCAAAGGCAACACAAGAATTTTTACGTGGTTCCCTCAATGTGAGGTACGTCCACGGGATCGAAATCCGATTCCACTATCAACCAAATAATTCCAAATGATTACAAACAAGACACTAATGGTCTCACAAAACACCCTTAGCTGAATTCCAAATAATCACAAATAAACAAAGAGGAAAGACCTCACCAAATAGAAGAACCAAAATCTTCTGAACCAAAGTTGAAGAAGACCCAAAATAACGAACTAAATCATCCAACTTATGAAGCCGAAACCGAAGAAGCCAACCGAAGATTCCATACCTTAATCAAATAAGCCACTGGATTGACTTTTCCATATGCACTATCTCACAAAACAAATTGATCAATGAAGTGTTTCACAAAAACGGCTGCTGTTTTCTCCTCACGCACCGAGCAAAAAATCATAAACAATATATATATATTGTTAAATCTAGGACTTATTTTATTAAAATCCTAATTGTATCCAAATTGAATTGGGTCTCCTCAAATATAATATATAAAAATATATTATACCTAAATCAAGTTAAATTGAAACTCTTTTACTAAATCAATTGGGTCCCACACTCCAATAAGGAGGTATATCCCAACAGGAGGGATGTCCATTGGTTTTGGTTAGAGCGGAACCCAAATTCGAACCACAACCAACCTCCATGGCGGTTGCATCAATGCATGTTGTTTCTCCTAACCAACTAACAATACCCACTTACATTGTTGAGAGCCTCTTGATAGGGCTGTTCAAAAATCTGTTCAAATCGATAATTCAAACTGAATCAGATCAAATCGTACGATTTGGTTCGATTCTATTAAGAACCGATTTGGTTTCAATTCAAGAAATATTGAGAACCGGAAAAATTATTCGGTTAATGGATTTTATATAAAAAAAAAAAAAATCACGGTTCGAACCAAACCGAACCGAACCAAATTTTAAAAGATATATATATATATATATAATATTTAATAAACAGCAGTGGTCTTTCATAAATTCACTATTTACAATGTTTGGAATGTTTTTAAATGCTTTTGGATGATTTCAAATTTCAATAGTATGTAATGGTTATTATCGTATCAAGTTTTATTTTTATTAATTGGTTTTTTGCAATTTTAATGATATTAAGTTGGTATAAATATATAATGTTGAGTAATGCCTTAATATTATTAGTTTTTATCACGAGTTAAATATAATCAGTTTGAGTAATTATTTTGTTAATATTAACAATTTATTCTTATAAATAGAAATTTTTGAAACCATGAACCAAACCGCAACCGAACCGTTATTTCGATTTGGTTCTGATTCGATTTTACAAGTGTAATGGTTTGGTCTGATTCTCAAAATCACAGATCCGATAAAATCGATTTGGTTCTTAAATTTTCTCATAACTGAACCAATCCGGATCATGTTCACCCTGCTCTTTGATCCTCTTTCGAAAACCTTCAAATGAGAGGAGATAATGCAATACAGGATTTCCACTCCATAAGTCCAACAAAACAAGCTACCATCCCCAAAAAAGAAAAGCAGAAACATCCAATTATTTTAAAAGCTAAAAAGCAAGAGGAGACAATTTTACCAAATTAATGAAGTTGTCCGACAAACACCTGTCAAGAATACTATGTGCCTCGTGGTGATGACATTGCTCATTGTTACTGACAGTCAAAACATTAGCAGTTAATGGGCTGATCGCTCAGGAGTCAGGACACAAGGAAAGAGTAATCTAGGATCATAAAGTTAACTTACCATTATAGTTTGGAAAGACTAAATAAGTGCACTTTTTGATTTTTTTTGTATTATGTGTAGAAAAAAAATAGAGAGGAGATATTGATTGATGTGACCCAAAAAAGATAAAAAGATGAAATAAGTACACTTTTTTCTTTGTAGCCAAACTTGGCCTTAAATAATAAATTGGCCGAATTAAGGTGCCAATAACCACAACCTCCAAACAAGAAGAACATATATCCTCTAATAGATTTATACATATTCACTAGTCGAGGGAAAGTTTCCATGCATTTTCAACAATTAGAGCGAGCATCTATTGTTCACGGCCGTTAGCATATGTATTTTTGGGTAGTTCAGGAATCCAATTAGTTTTTTTTGTTAATACAGACTTGGAAGGCCATAATCAAAGTTATGTTTTGTTTGGGTGGATATGAGCTTGGGATTGGACTAATAGTTCAATAAAATTATTAATCCGATGTTTGGTTAAACAATTGAAATACGGACTAATTATTTTAAATTTGACTATTAGTTAAGATAGGATACATAATCCAACGGATTCGTAGTCCTAAGACTATTAGTCATAGGAATGCTAATCCAATCCGCCCAAACAAACATGACCAAAGTGCATCGCAGCTCAATGACCAAAATGACTGAATTAAGACAATGACAGTAGTAGCTTATCGGGTTTATTGAGGAAGTAGTCCATCTCTACTAAGAGAGTAGATTTTCTAATCAACCTCAAAACAATGTTATAAAATTTAATCCTAAATTCCCAATTAGATTGATTAATGTATTTTCCACCCAAGCCACATAACTTCAATAATCAATACAATGCAACACATTCAATCAGCAGAACACACTAAATTGATAAACCATGATTACAAAATAGTAAACCCTAGAAACACTTATTGCTCAACACATTAATAGTAGTAGTAACACAATAAAACCCAAATTCCAAAAATAGGAATCTCACTAAACCCTAGAAACACAATGACGAAAACGATTTATCTGACCTCAAAAAGGAACCTTTTTTGATCGAACAATTTGTATTTCAGTTTTGGGGGGCGGAGATCATGGGAGGAGGGGTGCCGAGCAAGCTGGCTTGCTGAAGATCGAGGTCGTTGAGCTGTTGCTCGCGGTCCATCTCGATGATGAGAGGCACCACGAGGATCAACAAGGTGGTTCCGGCGATCCACGCCGCCTTGCCGGTGCTCTTCAGGAGCTTCTTGGCGACGCAGGCGGCGTCGGAGGCGACTCGCTTGCTTTGGTATATGATGGGAGACTCAGAGATTGTTGAGGAAACCCTAGAGATAACTCCGTCGTCGCTTCTCTTCTTGTCTCGTCTTTCTGGCAGAGATACTCCTCCTCTTTTCGCCGCCATTGTCCTCTGAGAGAGAGAAGAGAGAGAGAGTGGAGTCTTGTGTGGGTAGAGGGGGAGGGAGGGCTGTTCGAAGGGTTTATGAGCATGGGCTTGTAATAGGGTCAACATTCGGCCCGTATGCCCGACCGCTTTCGATTGGGCTTAAACCTCATTAGGGAATACGTTATTTTAATAAATTTTTAAAATTTTTTGATTAAAATATAAGATAACAAAAATTAGTATATTTTAGATTTTTTATTTTTTACAGAAAAAAAAAATGCAAAAAATAGAGAGTAAATAAATTTTTTGACTTTTTTATATAATTTGTTGAATCTTTTTTATTTTTTTAATAATTTTTTGACTTTTAAACTAAAATGTTACCTCCTCGAACGAGACGCTTTGCTTGGCAATGGATTTTTTTGGCTAAATTAGTTTATAAAAAGATAAAACAGAATAAAAAAATAATAAGGCAAAATATCATATCCAAACTATAATAATTTTACTTTTTTTTACACAAAAATTAAAAAAATCAAAAAAGCCTAACCAATCAAACTTTTATACTTAAGATAAAATAACAGAAAATCAAAAATTAGCTAAAAGAAAGCTTATTAGCAAAAGACAACTTGATTTCGTCCGTTGGCCCGATCCTCTCAAAAAATAATAAAATCTTAAAAAAAATAAAAATAATTAAACTCGAATACCATCCCCCCTCTAACTAAACTTGTAGATTGGTCCATTAGCTCTCAAGTCCTAAACAAGCTTGTCAGGAAAATTAAAAAAACAAAAGGGGGAAGACCTCAAAAAATATGTGTAGAGCTCGTTTGGAAAGTTAGATTTGGAGGTTTTTTGTTAAAATAGTTATAAAAAACAAAATAAATTTTTTAGCTTAATAAGATAAAACATCACATGTAATCCATAATCATTACATTATTTCTCTCACAAAAATTAAAAAAGTCAAAAAACCCTTCCCAAACGAGGCTATTTAGCCCTAGGCTAAAATAGCCAAAAAGTCAAAAAAATAAAAAAACCAACTCTTTTCCTAAACGAACCAATATATATACATAAGGAGTGCGAAGGCAAATTGAAATAATTTTTTGGAATGATGTAGTTTAAAGGAAAATTTGCATTTCAGTGTGATGGGAATAGCATAGGAGGACACAACCCATGGCCCAGGTGAGGCCCAATCCACGATTGTCTTAAGCTCTTCAAACAGTCACATGGATAAAACCCAACAAGTAGGGCCCAACATCAGGCCCAGTAAGGGGTCAAAGGAGCCAATACTAGCCCAAGTCCCGTAACATTTGAGCATGTAGCCAATACTAGCCCAAGCCCAGTAACATTTGAGCATGTGTCAGATAGGGCCTAGTCATGCGGCAGAAAAAGATCCTGTAGAGTTGTTAATACCATACATCAAGCATTTAATGTAACAATACCTCTCATTGCGAGGGGGGACGAGACAGCCATGGCTGACGACAAGTATGTATAAGGCTTTCGACCAATGAGATAGTATGAATAGGCAAGAAAATGATTAGCAGGAGATATAAGGAAGCTTCGGCAGGACGCTTGAGGAAGGTAACTCTTTCTTTCTCTCTCTCTCTCTCAACCTCCAACTTTCTTTACTTTACTATCCAGATCACGTTCAATATAACGGGATCGTCGAAGGGTTCACGAGAAGGAACCACTCCCATTTTGATACCTTCTCATTGGACTTGTTGCAGGTCAAGTAAGAGGAACTAAGGATAATTTGCCCGTGGAACACTTGGATCCGTCTGACCCATTCTCTGCCGACCAAGCTGCATTATCACAGTGCATGTTTCAAAAAAAAAAATAGTGATTAATTTTATCAATTTTAATAATTAAAGTTGTAATTTTTTTCATAAATTTACAAAAAAAATATTATCAAGTCACTAGATTTGCAATTTTTCTTAGTTTAAAATACAAAGTCCGTTCAATTGATTATATTTAATATTATATTAACCTATTTAGGGGTCTTTTGGAAAGCAAAAAAAAGTCAGCTTTAACTCTTTACCTATTGTAGATTATATACCTCTCATATGTTTTATTCAGAAATAGACTAAAAAAATTAAAAAATTATTTTTTTACAAACTTTTCAAAACACAATCTTCCGCAATCGAAGTCCACGCCTCCCTTGTTGGGGGGGGTAGGTTTCCAGGTTTGAATTTTGGCATGGGAAAAAAACTTTTATAACTTTTGTTACAAAGGAAATTAAAAAGTCAGTGTAGAAGTTTAATTATTACGAGGGCAAACTTTTGAAATTCACCATGAAACCATCCGACTGTGGGGGTATTTTGGCAATAAGTTAAAGGAGCTCGTTTTTTAGTTTTCTAACTTTTTTACATAAAAAAGTCAATTTTTTAAAAAAGTTATAAAAAATTAAAAATTAATTTTTTATCAACTTTTCAAAACATCACTGTGTGTTTGAAATATGAGATTTTAGCCCAAAAAAAATCTATATTAAAAAAATATAAATTATTACATTCTTTATACTTTTGCATATTTTCTGGGTAAAAAATAAAATAATCATTGCCAAGCACTTTTTATACTTTCACTTGATACTTTAGCCGCAAAACTATTTTCCAAACAATTAATTAATGAGAGATTTGGTTTAATGACTGTCTAATGTCTTTTGTGGTGATTTTTAGGAATAATGCAATATGTATTAATTAGTGTACTGATTAGTATATTAATTGATGATTTGATATAATTTAAAATATTTTTGATATTTATAATGTAATTAATTAGTAGAGTTAATAATAATATCATTACTAAAATTAGTACTCTAATTGGGATATAGTAGTGGTTGTTAAGCTTTAGACTTTGTTTATTTTCTAGCTATTGTGAAGTAATAGTTTATTTAATGATAAGTAGAAACTGTTGTCTAAACGCATGGAGCACATTATTAATCCTATTTCAATGATCAAATAATTAATTTTTCATGATTTTTCATATACGCTCATAAAAATAAAATCGATCTGATAATTATAATTCTTTTAAATTTATCATGTTTGTCAATTTATATTTTTTATTATTGTAAATTGTGTTTTTGTTAAAAATAATATCCCTAATTTTTTCATATATTACATGACAAAATTAATATATACTCTTTGGTAAAGCATATGGTAAGGCCTCGTTTGGAAATAGGTTTTTTTAGTAAATTTTTAATGTTTTTGCTAAAATATGATGTAAAAAAAATTAGTATGTTAAAAAAAACTAGTCTGTTTGGGATGACTTTTTGGCATTTTACAAGAAAATGTGCAAAAAGTAGAGAGAAATGGAATCTTTAATTTTTTGGTATATGTTGTTGAATTTTTTAATAATTTTTTGACTTTTTGACTAAAAAAGTCACTTGCCAAATGAGACTTAAAAAGGAGAAGGAAAAAAAACAAAGGAACCAAAAAAAAAAAAAAAAACGGCTGCAGGCAGTGGTGGAGCCAAGAATTTAATATAGGAGGGCACCTATTAATTACAATCTCAAAATTTTTCTTTCCCAATCAATAACAATAACATAATAATAATTTTTCAAGCTAATGTTAAATATTAAAAATTAATATCCATTACAAAAAGTTTTAAATTTTAAACTTTTACAATTGACCCCGACGAGTTTTCATCTTTTGAAATTTTTCCACAATTGTATCATTGTCAATTCCATCAAAAATATCTCTCTCAGTGTAGACAACCAAGCTATCATTCATCCATTCATCACCCATTCGGTTCCGCAACCGATTCTTCACAATATTCATAGCTGAAAATACCTTCTCAACAGTAGCAGTTGTAACAGGTAAGATTAATGCTAAAGTCAAGAACAAATACACCAATGGATATACTTTGTCTCTTCTAGTCTCTACCATTTTCTTAGCAAGATCGGCAATTTCATTCAACATTGAGAACTCACTATTGGATAGCATGTCGATAATATATGTATCAAGTTGATCATTAAGTACCATGAGCTCCACTGAAGAAAATTCTTTGGGATAAAATTCAGCAAGATGAATTAACTTTTTCCTGTCAAAACTAGAAAAATAGTTAGATGGATTCAAACATGCCACACAAAGTAACAACTCAGTGTTCGACTCAGTGAAACGAGCATTTAGTTCTTGAATTAGCATATCAAAATCTCTTATTTTAACATAAATAATAACAAATAAAAAAAATTTACAAATCAAAATTTAACAAATAATTATAAATTAATACTCATAATTTTTATTTAAAGTTAAAAAAAATAATAAAGTTACCTGTAAACAACGAAGAGAAGATACCAAGGTTGTAGTGTGGTCCCAAATCTGTGTTGTGTGATCCTAATTTGGTGAATCGCGAGTTGGTAAATTGCAAAATAACAAAGGGAGACCTTTTCTTGCTACCGGCCAAATATTTTGGTCGGTCGGCAATGTTTTTGGTCGGTCGGCCATTTTTGTTGGTCAATCGGCTATATTTTCCAGCCAATCCCTTTCCATCTGCTTTTGGCAAATATTTTATGCCAGCTGTCACAGTTGGCATCCACATTTCCCCCCCTCCATACACGTGTATGGAGGGATTTGCCTCTTGTTTAGCTTCTCTTGGAAGCTTGAGGATTTGAACCTCTATAAAGAGGGAGCCCCTCCTCCCTCCTCCAGGTTTAGAGATTTAGGGTTAGGAAGTTTGTATCTATCTATCTCTATAATTCCCTCTCTTTGCCTTTGTGTGTGTGTTTTGTGCTCTAAAGTGACTTTTGTTCACACTATTGCACACAAACACCTAGTGTTACACCATCCTTGGTTGTTGAGGCTCTAAGGAGTTGTTGTTAGGGTTCTTGGGCTGGTTTTGATCCAAGGAAGGTGCTTGGGTGGTGTTCTTGAAGAGGTTCTTCAAATGTGAGAACATACTTTTTTATTCTCCATTTTTGCACAAGCTTTTAGCCCATCTTGCATATTGTTTTAAGCTTCGACTATAACTGATAAAAGTTCTGATTTTGTATGCTTTAGAACTTTGTTTAAGGTCACTTTGAGGTTTGGGGTTGTCTCCCCCCACCAAGGCCTTGTTAGGCCTTGTTTTAGGCCATACCTTTTGGCCATTGTTTTGGTCTTTCCATGACCTCTCTACCACTGAAATCCAGAGGATTTTCAGTGGTGGAGAGGTGGTTTTGAGGTCCTGAAAAGGAGAGAGTCATCCCCTCTCCTTGTTGTCTTTAAAGTTTGCATAAATGGCTTATGTTGTTGCATGTTTACCTAGCTTGTTTTAGCTCCATTTCAGCATATATTAGGCTTTGTTTTGCCATGATACACCTCTGTTTTGAGTTGGTTTAGACATGCCATGTATGCTTTATACACTTGTCTTGTAATCCCATGATTTGGCCTTAACATGCATCATGTTGTAACATGTGCTTTTAGCATGATTTTGGCCCAACTCCATGAAGCTTTTAGGCTTGTTGTAGCATGCTTAAGCTCTGTTTTTCGTTGATTTGGCCATGCTTCCAATGTTTTGCATAGCTACCATGTAATCTAGTTTGTTAGCTTTGAGTGTCCAAGTTGCTAGCATGCTCTATGTAGATCATTTAAGTGGTTTGGCATCATTTAGAATGTTATTTCAGTCCATATTTCATGCTTATGAACTTACATTTATCACTCCTTTAATGTCTTAAAGAGTTTGTGTTTTATACCTCATTAATGTGTCATTGTGTATGGCATCATGCTCAGGTCATTGGGATGCCATCTAAGTGGGTTTTTGCGCTCATTTTGACATGTCATAACTCTATTTTGGGTTGCTTAAATCATGCCATGTTTGGTTATATTAAGTGTAGTATAACACCTCTTTTGTAGCCTTGCATGCCTCATGCTTTTGGACTTTTGTTCTAGCTTGTGTTAGCTAGGTTTAGGCTTGTTTTTGGCCTTATCTTGACCTGCCTTGGGACTGTTTTGATAGCCCTTGGCCCTTTGGGGCTTGCCTTGCGTAGCCATAATTTGAGCCCTTTGGTTAGCCTTAGGCCTTGGACTTTCTTGCATGCTTTGCTTGCTTTATTTGGTTGATTTGGCATCATTCCTTACATATTTTCAGAGCTTAATGCATTGTCATATTCTCATATTTATCACATCTTGCTCATGCTTGAGGATTGTGCATGGTTGCCTAAGTGTTGGACCACTCACATGTGCATGATTGTTTTGCATTTTCATGCCTTCAATTCTTGACTTTGGCCGCTGATTTGGGCTTATTCGAGAGCTGCCCATTTTGGTTTAAGACCATCCTTGCATGTTGTTGCATGCTTGCCTTGTATGTTGTCACATACTTGTTGCATATTCAGTAAATTGCATGTTGTAGCATGCTAGTTCAATTGTGCCTTGTTGTGTACTTAATCCATGACATGTTGTTGCATGCTTAAATTGTAATGCATTTGGCGTGCATTCTCTTTTTTTAGTTACTTAGCATGTTGTCACATGGTTGTCTCACATGTTGTATGTTCATCATTGGCATTATTGTTTATGTTGTCACATACTTGTTGCATATTCAGTAAATTGCATGTTGTAGCATGCTAGTTCAATTGTGCCTTGTTGTGTACTTAATCCATGACATGTTGTTGCATGCTTAAGTTGTAATGCATTTGGCGTGCATTCTCTTTTTTTAGTTACTTAGCATGTTGTCACATGGTTGTCTCACATGTTGTTGTATGTTCATCATTGGCATTATTGTTACATGCTTTGCATGCTTGTTTGTTTAGGTTGTATGCCTATTGCACATTTCTTGTTTGCATGCTCATGTTGCATTAGCTTGCTTGTATGTCTAGGTTGCATAGCTTTAAGCATGCATCCCTTGCCTCTTGATCAATCATGATAGAGGTTGGGGGTCCCTTATGTGTTATATGCATTTCATTCCATCTTGAAATGCAAACTTGGCACCTTGGGCCATCATGCATCGAAATGCGTGATTGATGGCCCGAGGGTCGAGAACCATGCTCCTCTAAGTCTCAAACATGCTAAGGAGGGTGGTGGTGCATAAATTGCTTTTCAAATGCATCGCCATGTTCTGTCTGTCCTCTGTTGCAGGAAAACCAATGTTCTGCAGGAGGAAATGGTCGATCGGCAACTTTCAGTGCCGGCCGACTACCAAAATAGTGCCGGTGATCCCATTTTTGGTCGATGACCATACTTCCATGGCCGGTGTTGTTTTCTCTTGGCCGATGACATCTCACACTGCTCAGGGAGTGATTCTGAAGCTTCACTCGGACTTGTGAAGTTTTCAGAAGTACAGATCAATGTAAACAGAGGCAGCATGAGTATGGCGATAGATTTCCGAGCGGAGCCAAGCATGCACGCATTCATCCTTCTTCCCGAGACCTCTTTACTGCTTTCTTAGCTTAATTAATTTGTTTAATTAGTTAAGTGTTGTGTAATATTTAGTTAGCTTGTCAGTTAATTAATTTGTATTATTCTTTCGGTACCTCCTTCGAGGGGGCGCAATTGTGTAATAAGCGTGCGTGTGTGTGATGCTTGTCTTTCAACCCCCACTTCTTTCTTCCTTTTATTTAACCGCTTATGAGTAAACAGAGGCAGCATGAGTATGGCGATAGATTTCTGAGCGGAGCCAAGCATGCACGCATTCATCATTCTTCCCGAGACCTCTTTACTGCTTTCTTAGCTTAATTAATTTGTTTAATTAGTTAAGTGTTGTGTAATATTTAGTTAGCTTGTCAGTTAATTAATTTGTATTATTCTTTCGGTACCTCCTTCGAGGGGGCGCAATTGTGTAATAAGCGTGCGTGTGTGTGATGCTTGTCTTTCAACCCCCACTTCTTTCTCCCTTTTCTTTAACCGCTTATGATGGTTAGTTTTAAGGCATATTTGATTTAGCATACCTTATGCTGGGCATGTTTGCATTAATTCATTTGTATTGCATGCACCGGGCTCGGCGCATCATACTAACTGCATAGTATTTCAATTCCAACTTGAATACGTGTATCAAATCGTCGCATATCATATGTCATCTTAGATTAGCCGAGCCTATTCTAATTGCATTTTGTATGTGTTGCATTAGTCATCTTAACATGGGCTTGGATCATACATTTGATTACTAACATGTTCCTTGTTTTGGCTCGGAGTACACTGTGAGTGTTTATGCTTTAGCATCTTGCATGTATGTGAGTGTTAACATGAAAACATGCTTGCCATGAGGCTAACTGCTTATGTAATATGACTGTCTGAATGCCTGTGGGTGAAGGTTGGATTGTTTGAATTGGAATAATTCATCGAAACCCGTGTTTTAGCCTACTTATGAGTAGCAAACTTCAAATCATTTTCCAAGACAAAACAGATATGCGATGCTTTGTTTCAAATTAGGCGATCTAGTCTATACTTGTGTGTTGTGCGCATCACATAGTAAGATTAGCTAATTAACCGGAATAAGAACACATAAGTTTTCAAAACTCAATATCATGCTTAGTACAAACCGATCTTCGGATCGGGCGAGCAGGGGTGCTCATAGATGACCTTCCCCAATTGTACCCAAGTTCCCGAGCCGAAGCAATTTTGGTGATGACGGACACGTGGCCTTAGCCACGAGTCAGGGTTTCCTAAATTCTCCCAAAACAAAATATTTAGGTGGCGACTCTGTATCTGGCAAAGCAGTTCATGTTTGGCACTTCTTTCTTAAAAATCAGTTTTCCAAAACGATTTGCCGGATTTGGACTCTTTGGTGATTTATCAATCTCACATCGCACATTGTGAGATCATATTAAGAATTGTGACATATTGAGTCCGAACTGTGGAAAAGCATAAAGCCCACGAGTGCGCGTCCACAAAGAGTTAGATGGATTCAAACATGCCACACAAAGTAACAAATCAGTATTTGACTCAGTGAAACGAGCATTTAGTTCTTGAATTTGCATATCCAAAACAGTGTAAAATAACTCAGCGCGATAGTAATGTAAGTTTGTAATTTCTTGAGCATTGCGCATTTTTTTCCCTCGAGCTACAAACATATCTTCCATTTGGGGAACATCAATTTCATGTTTTTCACAAAAAGACAAAATATCATCAAGTAAATATGTCCACCCACTCTCCCTCATCTTTTGGAGTCGTACTTTAGAAATTTGAACTAAATTCATGGCATTAACAATATCTTGATCTTTCCATTGTAGTATTTGCGATAACTCACTTGTAATAGCCAATATTGTTTTCATCAAATGGAGGTTGAATACAAACTCAAATGATTGAATTGAGTCCAACAATATATTTGCTTCTGCTCGTTGTTCTGAATTTAAACCATCCTCCAAAATCATTTCAAGCACATCAATCACTGTTGAAAACATACTAGCCAAGATGACTAAAGTACCATAATGTGAACCCTAACGTGTATCACCAGCACGTTTAAGATTAGTTTCTTGATTTAAGCCTTGCCCACTAGATAGCTCTCCAGTATTAAGTGACTCAGAAACTTTTGCAGCTTGCTTCTCCCTAACAATATGTCGACATTTACATGATGCTCCAACAACATTCACCACATTAGAAACCATAGTGAAAACTAAAGCAATTTGATTGTGATTCTTTGTCACGGTTACAAGTGTCAATTACAATTGATGAGCAAAACAATGAACATAATATGCACAAGGATTCTCTTTCAGTATAAGTGTTTTAAGACCATTGAACTCACCTTGCATATTACTAGGCCCATCATATCCTTGACCCTGCAATCTAAAAATACTTAATCCAAGTTTGGAAAATAAATTTTCCATAACTTGTTTAAGTGAGAGAGCATTCGTATTAGCAACATGCTCAATACCCAAAAAGCGATCAATCACTTGGCCTTTTTTGTCAACATATTGTATCACAACTGCCATTTGCTCATTGATTGATATGTCACGGGCTTTATCAATCAAAACAGAAAAAAGTGCATCACCAAGATCTCTAATAATCACATTGATAGTTTCATAAACATGCCAGTCCAGATACACAATATTTACAAGGTATTTACAGAATGTACTTCCCAAGACCTGACTTTACAGAGCATACACAAAGACTAACATGAATACAAAAACAGCCATGGCAATAGGCTTCGTTCGAAACCTCTTCGGGAGGCACAACAATTGGCTGACAAAAACAGAACAGTAGGCCATCAACTCTGGCCCTGGTCACCCGCCGACTCACCTACATACATAATATAAACTGTGAGCGGAAGCCCAGTGAATAATAACAGAGTAAAGGGGTTTTATGAATGATGTCCAGCACAAGTTAGGATCTAGTATTTAAATCAGAACATATTCAGACTTCAAAATAGAAATAGATTTAGATACACACTCATGTTCATAATCAGATCTTGTATAAGATCATACGTGGTACACCCATTAGCTATCAGATCAATTTGGTCCAGAAACCCACATGCATAATTGGTACCAACGACCATAAAGGTCCATATCTTGCGCGCAAGTAGCCATGGTATTGTTACCCCCAGGCAAGGGCCACGTGCAGATTGACCGCGGTATTGTTACCCCCGGGCGAGGGCCACATGCAGATTGGTTGCGGTATTGTTACCCCCGGGCGAGGACCACGTGAACTAAGAGTGTCACAAATACTTTTCAGAAAATTGGACATTCATTCATAATTTGTAAGATAGCATTTCAGAAAACAGATCATACTATACCAGTCAGAAAATACTTAAGTTAAATATAACTTTACAGAGTTATTACTCACAGTAGGCCTTGAGACAGACATACGGAGTAAACTTGGTCAAACAGTACGTGACACGTGACCTACACAACACATAACAGATGCACACTTGAAACACACGTTCTAATTGTACAAAATTTATTTCGTTGGCTCTTAGTGTATTTCTAATCTCTTATCCTCAACGTGTGGTCTTAAACATGGCCTAGGAATGCCTAGGATGGAATGACGATGCAAAAATGCATTGAAAACCATTTCTCAAATTTTGCTGAAGATAAGGTCCACGCTCGAGCGTGGATTTCCCCGCTCGAGCGGACATGCAGACAATGAAGCTCCGCTCGAGCATGGACTTCCCCGCTCAAGCGGACTGCAAACTTATGAAAAAGTATTGGATGCAAGAAATTCACGCTTGACGGGCGATCGACCCCCCGCTCGAGCGTGTGACACAGACCCTTGTAGCACGCGCCCGTGAGGGGGCCCTCGCTACTACAGTTAGAAAACAGATTTTTGAAAAGAAGTGCCAAACATGGACTGCTTTGCCAGATACAGAGTCGCCACCTAAATATTTTTTTATGGGGGAATTTAGGAAACCCTGACCAATATCTTGATCTTTCCATTGTAGTATTTGCGATAACTCACTTGTAATAGCCAATATTGTTTTCATCAAATGGAGGTTGAATACAAACTCAAATGATTGAATTGAGTCCAACAATATATTTGCTTCTGCTCGTTGTTCTGAATTTAAACCATCCTCCGAAATCATTTCAAGCACATCAATCACTGTTGAAAACATACTAGCAAAGCTGACTAAAGTAAAACGTTATGTGTTCTTATTCCATTTATTAGCCTAGAATTACTACGTTATGCGCACAGCAAACAAGTATAGACTAGATTGCCTAATTTGGAAACAAGCATTGCATATCCGTTTGTTTTGGAAAAATGTTTTGGAATTTGCTACTCGCAAGTAGGCTAAAATACGGATTTCAACGAGTTTTTCCAACTCAAACAATCCAACCTTCACCCACAGGCATTCAAACAGTTTATATCACATAAGCATTTAGCCGCATGGCAGGCATACTGTCATGGCAACACTCGCATGCATGCAGTATGCTAAAGCAGGAAAATACTTACGTAGTACTCCGTACCAAAACAATAAACTAGTTAGCAAACATGCGTGATCCTAGTTCATGTTAGAGTGGCTAATGCAACGCTTGCAAAATGTAATTAGAGTAGGCTCGGCCAACCTAAGCGTAGCATGTGAAATGCAATCAATTTGATGCACGTATTCAATTTGGAATTGAAGTACAAATGCAGTTAGCGTGATGTACTGAGCCCGGTGCATGTAAAACAAATGAATGAATGCACGCGTGCATTACATAAGGTATGCTAATTTAAACGTGCCCTAATCTACCATCAAAGCAGGTAAATAAAAGGGAAGAAAGAAGTGGGGATTGGAAGACATACACACCACTCACACACACTTATTACAGATTTGCCCTCGCCCGGAGGGACCAAATAAATAATACAAATTAATTAACTACGCAAGCTAATTAAATATTACAAATTGCCTAATCAGTTAACAAACTAATTTAAACTAGGAAAAGCAGTAAACCGCCTCGGGAGGAGAGCCATGATGCAGCGCATGCTCGGGTCCGTTCGGAAGTGCACGGCCATGCATAGTCCTGCCCTGTTTTCCCTGCTTGCTCTCTGGAGGCTACCAAAACCTCAGGGATGTTTCTCTGGATACTGGGAATCACCACCGCTGAGTAGAATTACCACCGGCAGTGGTATGTGGTCATCGGCACAAAATTGATCATCGGCTGGTGAATTACTGCGGTCGCAATGTACACTGCCGGTCGCAAAGAATGCCTGCAGAACCTGTAACTCACAGCAACAGAGGACAAAACTTGCATGCAATACAATTCAAACAATGTATGACCAATTATGCCCTCTATCATGTTTATGACTCAAAAGGCACGTGTTCTGATTCTCGGACCGCCAATCACGCATTTCCATGCATGACGGCCCAAAGAATCAAGTGTGCAACTTTCATGTCAATGAAATGTAACCAAACAAACAACACCAAGGCCCAATTCCTATCACCAAGTCAAGGAATAAGCATGCATGCAAGATGCAATGCAACCTAGGCATATAATGCTAAGGATGCAACATGGCATGGCAAGACACTTATGCAAGCATACAAGCAAACATGAGGCAATGCAAATGATGGAAAGGTGGACTTATACATGATTTAGGCAACTCTAAATAGGCCTAAAACAGTGGCCATAGTGCTATAATAAGGGACCAAATACACATGCATACATGCACATGATTAAGGGTCAACACTTAGGCACAAATGGGACAACTCTCAAGCACACTTGAAAAGGGATATCATGGACAATTAGCATGCAACATAAGCTCTGAAAATCATGTTAAAACATGGTGCCAGGCCAAGTAACAAGTCAAGCTAAACATGCAACAAATAGCCCAAGTGCTTGAAGCAAGTCAAAAGGGCTTGAACCATGACCAAGCCAACCAAGCCTCACAAGGCTAGGGGGCTTAAAATAGGTTCAAGGCAGACCTAGACCATGCAAAGGGGACCCCCTATATGGCATCTAAGTGGCTCAAAATCAAGAGCATACACAAAGGCCAAAACATGGGGCATGCAAGTCAAGCTTCCAAAGCTTCAAAGAGGTGTCCAAAGCAAACATACAAGCATGCTATAAAGTCTGAAATTATGCTAAAAATGATGCCAAATCATCAGAATAAAGCAAATAGTGCATGCTCCAAACTCACACACTTGAGGCCAACAAGCCAAAATGCAAAGAAGGCATCTAATGCGTGCCATGGCCGACCCAAACAACTATGGACAGACCTCTAGCATGGCAAAATAAGCACACAAGCTTCACAAAACGAGACCTAAAATATGCTCGAGCAAAGGCTAACAACCTAAGGCATATTAAGGCAATAACAAGGCATTACATGGTAGGTATGCTAAACATGCATGGTGTACCAAAACCAACACACAACAAGGTTATATCATGGCATAATAAGTATGGAAAATAGCCAAGATATGATCAATACACACTCTAACATGATGCTCTCTCAAGAGGCCAAAAAGGGTCCATTTCAAGGACAACAAGGAGAGGGGGTGACCCTCCCCTTTTGGAGACTTTAAGGCACCATCTCCACCACTAAAATCCCTCAAGATTTCGGTGGTGAAGAGGCCCAAACACCAAAGTCTCGAAACTCACTCAAAATAGCACAAAATGGGGCCTTTCAAGGCCTAAGAGGGGTCAAACTCCTCCAAACCACAAAACACTCTAAACAAACAATTTAGAGGGCCTAAAAAAAGAAATTTTTTGTATTATACACCAAGCTCAAAAACTATTTTAAGACAGGTATAAATACAATGCAAGATTGGGGAATAAAGAGGCAAAATTGTTACCCTTGAAGACCCCTTCAACAATGGTGCTCCAACAGCTCCTTCTAGGTTGAAAACAGCTCCAAAACTTCAAAACCAACCTCTTAGAACCTCAGTAGCTAAGTGAAGGTGAAACACTATGTGTTTGTGTGCAATAGTAAGACACAAACAATTTAACACACACAGGAGGGAGATATAGAGATAGAAAGTGTATGGTTTCTAACCCTAGAACCCAAAACCCTAAAAATGGCTATCTAAAAGTATCTTAAGTCTCTCAAGTGTCTAACCCTAAAGCCAAGAGAGAAGGCTCTCTCTTATAGAGCCTTTTGTCTTGTAAAGCTACAAGACAGCTTCATAAGAGGGAGATCCCTCCATACACGTGTATGGAGGGGAGCCAAAAGCAAGACAACTGTGATAAAATATCTGCAAAAGCAGATGCACAGTAGTCGGCCGGCCAAATATGCTATTTTGGCAAAAAGGAGTACCGACCGGCAACAAAGAGTGCCGACCGGCAATAAAAAGTGTTGATGGCAGCAAAAACCAGCCGGTGACCTCTAGCCACTGCCGGTGGTGTGTGGGGATGCCTCACAAAGCATTCCTTGCCCCTCCAAGGCAAAACACAAGTATTTGGTGCAAAACCAGACACTAAACAGTCAAGTTCGGAGATCCTGAGGCAAGGCGCGTAGTCGAGACCTCCGGGAACTCCAAACGAACACAAATAGGAATGATCACCGAGTGTTCCAATGGTGACGT